TATATGCTGTTATAATCTTTTTAGTAGTATTTTCTACAATCTTTATTAAGAGCGTTAAGGATGTTATAAATTAAGACGCGGGTGTAGGCATCTTTAAGGTTTAGTTTAGTAGTCTTTATTTATTTCTGTGCTTGCTCTAGATTTATCTTCTGAGGTAGATATTTTTTAAGATATTGCTGTCTTCCCTCTTATTTTTCTTCTTCTTCTGCCCGTACTCCTAGGACATGTATATAGTTATATTCTTTATCCATTAATTTATAGATATTGTATCCTTTATAGTTATAATTGGGGTCCTAAGAGTAATAGATATTATATTAATATATATAAAATGGGATTAATCTATTTAATCTTTATAGTTTCTTATAACAGTGGTTTATATCCCATAAGTGATATTGTAAGCATTTATATATTTTTCCGTTGAACTTTAGGCAAGTTTTATTATATTATAGTTTCTAAGAACTGCATTAGTGATATTTATTATTGTAGATAATTTTATCTTTGCTAGCTTCTTTATCTAAGAGTTTCTGTTCTCTTTTAGATTGTACTTTTCCTTATTCTTTAAGGTATTCCTTGGCTAATCTATCTTTTTCCTCAAAGAGTTTATATATAGCTTCTATATTTTATCGCCATTTGCCTTTGCAACTATATTAATATCCTTCTATAAATCCGCAGTTAAGGCATCCTTGGCATTTATAGTTAGGGTTTTATAAGTAGCACTTGTTGCAATTATAGTTTTCCTTTTAAATTGCTGCTTGTTTTTTATTACACTTATAAATAGTATTAGTAGATCTGCAGTATTTGTAGATTAATTCTATGCTAAAGTTTAAGTCTTTATTAAGTGGTTTATAGAAGGTTAAAGAGTTAATTTTAACTTCTTTTTAAAATTTTACTTTCTTTAGCTTCTTTAAATAGTGTCCTAATCTATCCTTATTGCTTTTATATACAAGGCATGCATTATTGTAGTAGACAGTTTAACTAAAGCTGGCGTAAGGTATTTTAGTAATAGTATCTACCTATGCGTTTTCCTTTATAGTGTTAATTACTGCTTTATCTTTTCATTCAGGACTTTTTCTATTTCCTTCTTATTTTTTCTTAAAATAGCAATAAGCTTTCTTATAGCCTGACTTACTATAGAAATTGCATTTTCCTTTAAACTTGATGGCTTTAATAGTGTCGAGGTCTATTTTGCCTGGTTGAGTTCCATTGTCCTTAGCAACGTACTTGTCTCTTTTCTTTCCTTAGTTAGCCTGTAGATAAGGCTTAGTTATAGTGCCGTTTCTTTCGGTTTTTCATTCTTGCTTCCTTTCCCATTATCAGTTATTAATCTTAATAGCTTCTTAAGTAAAGTCAGTAAAACTGGTTTTTTATTAATCTATCTTATAAATTTTATCCTTAACTTTAGGTTTTAGGCTATAGTAATAGATTTCTTTCTTTAAGTCTTCAGTCCAGTTTACTTTAGTAAATAACTAAAGAAATATTAAAGTATGCTAGTAATATAGTCTTTTTTATTTAAGGTCTTTAAGTTTCTTTTCTGCTTCCTGGGTTTTATTAGTAATCCTAAAGGACTTCCTTAGTTTTTCTTTAAAATTGCCATAATTAGTGAAGATGGCTGTAGTTTAAGCTCCTTGGTTATTAAAGGTATTCTTTTAATAATCCTTTAAGATTGCTTTAATCCAGTCTCCTACTGCTTTATCCATTTAGGTTTCTATATATTAAATGCATTTAAATAGCTTAATAAGTGTAAAGGAGTTTGGAAAATAGTATTTAAAATAAGTTTAAAGGTTGTTAAGGAACTTGTGCAGTTTTGCTGGGTCTCCGTTGAACTTATTAGGGTGAGGAGGCCTGAGAATTTCTCTAGGTTGTTTTTTAATTATCCCGACAGATTGTACAATAGGTGTAACTACAGCAGGTGCTACAGCTGGTGGTACTGCTAGCGGATTATAGAGTATAGCAAGCTATTGCTATAGAATGTTAATAGTTTATATGTTATTAGTTCTTTATGCTTTTAATTGGTGGACTAATTGTTTAAGGATAGCTAAATAGCTTATAGGGTTCTGTAGATTTAGTGGAGGCGCTTAATGTTATATCTGCTTTTCTACACTAGATTAATCTATAGGTTTAATAGGGTCTTGGAAGTTATCTATTTTAATATTGCCTGTAGGTCTGGTAACCGTCTGAACAAGAGTTGTTAATGTATAACAAACTGTATACTAAATAGTTAGTATAGGGTAGATTCCTAAGGGATAAACCTAGAATAAGTTCTTTGGGTTTATATTGGCAGATAGGTTAGGAAACCTATAGGCAATGATATTATAATAATAGTTACCAGTAGGGATTAGAAGTGTTTTTTAATTAGTAGATGTAAAACTGTGTTAATAACTGGCTATTTAAGTTATTTAAATAAGCGTAAGAAGTGAACTTATATATTCAGTTGGTATTTCTGGATTGTAATGGATTGATGTTAATTTCCATCGATCCTGAGTGTGCGTTAAGATGGATTGAATATGATTTGTGTCGACCCATTGCTGATTGGTGCGCCGGGCCTAAGTTAATCCGGCGATGCCTACCCGGTAGGCCCATAGTTGCGACCATAAGAGTTGGGTCGTAACACTACCTTACTATAGACATTAGCGACTAGATGCCCTCTTTAAACCTCTAGAACTATAGCTATTAAAGGCTATACTTTACAGGCTGTATATAAAAAAGACAGGATATAAAGACTTTATAAAGTATTATAAAAGATTTAAATACAGCACTAGGTCTATCTGCAAGTATAGTAAGTTAAAAATATAAGGCTATTTTATAGAATGCAGGATAGTTAAACCCTTTTTATTAAAAGTTTTTAAAAAAGACCTTTAAATAGGCATTACCCCCTTTACTTACTTATTAAAACCTAAAGGATATAAACATTTTTAGATATTAGTAAAGGATATAAGCCCCTATGGCCCTGCCCTTTAAAATATAAATTAACATTAAAACTTTCCTTTATTTTATATAATATATAGCAAACGCAGACTCTAAACCTGCGGCTTCTACCGTCTTATTACCCAGCAGGGATTTATATAACTAGCTTACTTAATGGATGTTAATAATAAAACAAATAAACATCAGGGTAATAATCCGGGCTGCGGGACAAGCGGCTTTGAAGCGCGGCCGGGATGGGACTAGGCTAGGTACACCAAATTACGAGAAGATGCTAGCCTTGTTTTCAGACCTGCTATAATGGAGGGTATTGGGTTATTGAATATTAAGCTCTTGTTAATTATCATGGATTGGAAGTGTTTAAATGATTGTGCACTATCTCGATGCCTTTCTAAAGGACTATATAAATACTAAATGTTTCCAGGGAGAAGCTAATAATCTGCAATACATACAGCAGTCTATTCTAACTTCAGTCTTGAATATATAGAAATTGCTTGATTAAATTCCATTTCCACCATTCCAGAAATATTCTAGGAGGGAAATGGCACCACGCTGATGGATGGCATAAATTCCGTCGAATTCGTTTATAGCCTTTCTGCATTTAATTTTTAATATTCAGATTACGAAACAAGGGACGCGACAAACCCCGAAGATACCTAAGATAAAATACCAAAGAGAGCCTCTTCAGTCCTTATCATTCCATCACCACAGCTAGATATCGCCATTGCAAATCGACAAATCGCAGTGTTATAAAGCGCAGTACCTATATACTTGGCCCCCTGTGAATTGAGCCTGCTACCAAAGTTTGCAAATGAAAGCGCTGATATTGTGGAATATAGCTAGGAATCTGGCGATAAGGCTACTATTAGTTGAGGGATTCTATCTAGTGCCCCTCCGCTTGCTGTATTCCGATTTTGAGCGGTTGAAAAGTCAAAGATGAAGCGCGAATGAACCAGCTGTTGGCATGACAGGCGCAAAGAGATAAGATGGAGGGATTGTAGAGAAGTTACTGGGGATTAATTGTTGCAATACTGTTAATCTAATGCCGTTAATGCTTCGCAGTGAAGGAGAAAGCATGGGTCTTGTTGCTCGTTGTCCCCATTTCTTATTTACGGCCTTTTCTGCACGATGGTTTTGATTACGGAGCATCAAGTCAAATTTATCCGTATACTTGCATATATGGTTAGCTTTACTGCAACGAAAGCATCTCGGCTTATTTTCATCACACTAGGTTTACAATTAGAATAAAATTTTGTACGAGCTGAGTAACCCCAAGTTGTATGGCACAAAAGCGGAGATCTAGACCCATTATACCAGCATTGTTGACTAGTCCATGAAGAGCGGTCCCATTCCTATCAGACAGTTAATAAACAAAGCTGAGTTATAGGGGGTTTCTAGTACTGAAGTGAGTAAGGTAAATGGTTAGAGCTCATGCTTAACGAAATAAAGTATATAGTCTTGCAAAATTGAAGTGGTGTTAAATAACAAGAACAATGAAGAAGGTGAAATGCGCGAATTAGAGGTGTTATATAATGGAAAATATTAACAAACTCTATGCATGCAATAATTTATCTCTTCCAAAATTAATAACTAATTCTTATTCGGTTTCTCCGGATGGAGGAGCTACATTCCTTTCAATCCCAAATAGAATAGCAAGGTGTTCTAGGGTTAAACATTCCCAGAACGTTTTAATTAAGCCAGCAATAAAGCGCAAATATGGGTATTCTTACTAAAATACCTCTCCTAATAGATATAAGATAAGCGTCTATTCCTACACTTTTCCATTTGGGGTTATTGCTGCGATACTTTTACCTAAAGAGCAGCAACTACACCTTAGGTATATTACCCCACAGAGTAAATTATATTATAATCAGTTGATGCCTGAAATTGCCACCTCTTGTTAAACAATTGTACTGTTTATGTCTCCTCGCCTTGCTTGTGCATAAAATATTAGCTTTATAGAGCTCCATGTTGGGCGCTAAAAAATTAAGGATTTTGGTTTACTTTAAGTAATATAAATTACATACTGAACCGAAGTTCAACTATTACAATGATATCTAAGTATAAATAAAAAGTTGTTAAATATCCAGCCATTCAAAATAAGGACTAGTACTTGGTTGTTGACCAAGATACTTCTCTAGAGTTTTCTCTTCAGGCTGCCCACCTCCCATCTCGAAAACAGTATCCCGGAATCGCTTTCCGGCCTCTTTGTCGAGAGTGTTTGTCTTAAACTCACAGTTCCACATATTTAAAGCAAATACTCGACCACTAATAGCTTTATTAGTTATATAATCTTTTACCTGTAAAGAAAAGAAAAGAAAAGAAAAGAAAAGAAAAGAAAAGAAAAGAAAAGAAAAGAAAAGAAAAGAAAAGAAAAGAAAAGAAAAGAAAAGAAAAGAAAAGAAAAGAAAAGAAAAGAAAAGAAAAGAAAAGAAAAGAAAAGAAAAGAAAAGAAAAGAAAAGAAAAGAAAAGAAAAGAAAAGAAAAGAAAAGAAAAAGTTCAAAGACACCTACAGAACATATGTATAATACCCAGCATCATATCCGCTGACAATCATACGGAACACAGACTCTCCATGACTCCAATCCCAGCCATCACCAATTGCTTCTCCACCATGCATTGCTAAGATGTCAGCCTGTAGTTTATTGAACATCTCGGCTAAATCAGTCTGTTCGAGTTCCTCATGGGTAGCAGGACTGTGAACAAGTATGTCGAAGTATGATAGAAAGAGGTTATAAATCTCGCGACTGATAAATGCTTTTGGATCCCATGAGGCCAGGTGTGCAACATCTTTGTCACTCAACTGCGCAGGTGGCTGTTCAGCTTTATCTTTATTCTCCTGAAACCACACAGATTTGTACTCTGGAGAAATATAAGAGTAGTGGTAAGAGAGATCTTTGATATGGCGGGCCTTCCAAAGGAATTGCTCAAGCATAAGGCTTGGGGCTTCCACAAAGTCCCTATCAACATAAGATAAGGTTGCATATTTGACTTTAGTGCACAGAGAATGATGGAGATGTCCCAGCTCATGAAAGAGTTTTCGGACGTCCACCAAGCTTAGCAGAACCGGTTTGGAATCCAACTTTGTATAGTTCATTACCAAAGCACAAGAAGGATAATATCGTGTGCCATCTGGCTGAGTAAAGCCCCATTGGATTGCATAACATCCACCATGTCCATATTTTCCCTCACGAGGAAAGAAATCAAAATATGCATAACCAAGAAATTCTTCTGATTTCCTGGTGTCCCATACAGCATACATCCCAACATCTTCATGCCAGACAAGAGGCTTCCCGCTTCCTAGCACAGACTGTTGTTCAGGCGTGATGAGCTCAAACCGAGTATCAAATATGTGTCCGAAGAGCCCTAAAAGGTTATCCAATGTATGATATAATTCGAAATATTCTGATAGTGTAGATCGGATTTTTGATTCGTTTTGTGTTTGTATTCTGGCGTAAAAACTTTCGTCCCAAAGAAACAGTTTCTGATCCTCCTTGATCTCTCCTCGCGCAATGGCATCATTGATTTTTAACTCCAGCAGCTCACGGGCGGCCTCGACAGCATGTGGGCGAATTCTCTGCGTGATTTCATCAAGAATACTAATAACTCTTTTGGGTGTCCTCATCATCTTATCGGCCGTCTTGTAAGCTAGGTAATTCGGATATTCTAATAATCTGGCAACTTCGTCTCGGCACAGAACCAGCTCGCGAAACAATGGTACGTTTTGCGGTAGCCTGTTTTTCATCGCATAATAAATTTTCCTGCGAGTATCTTCTGATTTTGCGTGTGAAATAATTTTATACGGGTGTGGAATTTTCGTCTTCACCCAGACTTGACCCTCATGGCTGGCTTCACCCCGTTTCAGATTGGCGAGGATCTTCTCGGGTACGCCTTCAAGCTCTTCAACGGAAAGCCAGATGCCAGAACTGTCTTCATGAAGATTTGAGGTACATTCTCTCACTAGCTCTTGGATTTTTTTTTGAGTTTGCTCGAAAGCTTGCTTTTTTTCCACATCAGTAATTCCGCTTCCATTTTGTCTAAGTTTTCGATGTAGCTTTTCGACGTAGTAAGTGGACTCGTCGTCTAAGTTTTTCCGCTCTTGGTGTATATCACTCAAAATTGCACTAACTAGGCCATATATATCCTCTCGAGAGTACAATTCCACATCGGCGTCATTGAACAATGATGTAGCAGAATTAGATGCATCGCGTAGCTCTTTACTTGGTGAAGTAGAGCTGTAGAACTTCAGAATTCTTAATCTTGTATATTTCCGGTTTTCATCGGTAATAATAGGTATAATTGTATTCTCGAACGTCGCATGGTTAGGCTTAACACTCTGTGCAACCTCATCCCAGATAGTACGGGTGTGGTCGATGAGAGCCTTAGCTTCGTCGATTATTGATAATGGTGTTGCATCAAAAGCTGTCGGTAACTGTGGGGGAGAACAAGAGAAATTGGTGATATTGCTCATCATGAAATGACCACAAAGTATGACCTAGCAACTGCTGAAATTGAAGCTTCTTTAACTGTGAATTGTATTTACTTTATTTATACTTGAACCACTGAGGCGCCAGTGGGAAATATATATACCCCTCAGTTAATTTATATCTGTAAATGAATTATTGCGCAATTTTGCGATAGATAGTGTTAATCTAAATCCAACATTAGCGGTGCCCGCATTTGACTCTAATTTCATGCCTATGTACCTTAGGGATCGGCATACTTTACCCGCTTGTGTCTTTCTATTTCTGTAAAAGGCAGTATCCAATGCTATAGTGTTCTAGACCGTGGTTGATTACTTGTATTGCGCTTTTAATTTACTATTTTCTGCATGTTGGTCCATCTTTTATCAACCGGCAAAAACTTGCCGAGCTAGTCGATAGCTGCTGTAATACCTATTCTAGTTTACTGTTACAACCTAGTCCTCTGTAGCAGCCTAGATCCCTTATAAACAGCTGGTTCTGTTACAGTAACTGCTACAATAGTGGTTATTGGCCTAATCTTTTGCCCTGTTTGGCTTAACGGTATAGCAGATTGTTACATTTATACTACTGTAAAGGGTATGTAATACTTAAGTAATTGTTGGAATGCAGCCTTTTTTCCTGCCTATTACAATACGGGTTATAAAGCTGCTAGGCTCATTCAAGCCTAGCTGCAAAGCTCAGTAAAGCAGTCCATTTATTTGTCAGCAAGTATAGTTATTTATATAGGCCGATGCGGTATTTTCCTTTGTACTAATATAAGGCTCTTTATAACCTCTATGGTATGCTCTATTTGACTAATCCAAGCGTTCCGACAGTAATAAATTTATTCAATATATATTGATAAGAAATTAATATAATAATAGTTTCTAATAAATATAAATATATAAGTTTAAGAAAAGTTACAAAAGCTAGTATAATATAAATATATATTTAACTTGTGTTTGAATTATAAAAAAAAAAATAGTTAAAAATAATAAAATTTATTTTAATAATATTATTATACTATTAGCAATTAATTATTTAAACTTTTCAAGAAATATATAAATAAATTCTTATATATTTAATTAATTTTAGCAAAACTAAAAAAACATTAACTTTAACTTTTATTACCTTTTTTTTTATATATATGAATAAGGTTAGGTTAAGAAGCAAGGTACAAACAACCAAGCACGTATATTATAGATAAGGAGTGACGTTGTACCCGCCTTACAAAAAGGACATACAACATAAATGCTACCTATAACTGCGTCCTTCAATAGCTCTTGATAGCAGGGGGCTCAGCTTTTCCCATCTCTGCCCAATTCTTCATTCTACCGAGCGGCTTTGGCTTCGCCGGGTAACTAAAAACAGGAGGGGAAAAAGTCCCGTTACTGTTGTGAGTAATAGTAGCAATGGTTTGGCCTGGTTTGGCCTTGGTAAAGTCAATTTCCGAGACTGCACTGAGGGTAGTAATGTCAACAGTGGTCCCGGGGGAATAGTCTCCCGTAGCCACATAGTATTTGACAACGGGAGTGAGTTCGTAAATCTTGTTTGGCTGAGCTCTCCAAACAGCGACTGGAACAACTTGATTCTGGTTGTTATACTTTCCATATCCGCAGTAGACCGTCGCTGCCATAGTATTTTAGTTTAAATGTTTATATGGAGCAAGAGTTTAACTTACTGTATTTGTCTGGATCGAAAGGCATGGTGGTGATGCCGAAAGAATTGTCTTTTTTAGTAGTCTTGTACGGCTCAACAAACTGAGGGCCATCGTCCACAATCGCCATGACGGGAGATGTGCCGGGCTTTGTATTGGATGTCAGCTCGACTGGGGCATAGTCGCTAGTGGCAACGACAACACCATAATCGACAGGTTTCGGAGTTGTACCACAAATGGCAAAATTGGCAACTTTGACATCAAAGTTCGCTTGGCCTCTCGGAGACGGAACACCAGGTGACTTGATCCAGACATTGGTGTATATCTGCCCAACAGACTGCGACTCGCTAGGCTGTTGGTTAAAGAAGAGATAGTTTTGCGTCTCCTCAGACTTATTGAGGACATTAACAATGTACTCGGCTGTGGCCATTTTAAATCACAGTTGTCTCCCTTTGGGATTTGTTGAACAGTATTTGATGAGACAAGGTCTGGGTAGTCTGCGAAAAGAAGAAAAATGTCTGTGAAACAATCTTTTCTCTGTTCATTTATTTTTCATTTAAGCGGGAAGCTGGGGCGCTATTTATGCATTTTTGGTAGGTGCTGGCTGTGGGATATCCTTCTTTAATGCCCATAAGGATTCCACAGTAGTGTTATTATCCCAAGTCCTAAAATACATCCAGATACATGCAGCACCGCAATTGTGGCTGGCACAAGACTTCAATTCAATTCGCTCTCAAAGTGTCCATTCTCATACATTCGCCCAGGAGTGTCTAAGACTCTTTAAGCTACACCCTTGTTATACTCATATACTTTATGCCATTATTAACACATGGAGTTGTTCTAGAGCCTAATCGATCATCGGTCTCTCAAACACGTATTTGATCATATACACTATACCTGTCGACAAGGATGGGACGTCTCCAGACTCATAGACGCGGCTGGATCGATATACGAAGCCTACCTGAGAGTTGCTCTAGCACCGGTGTAAGTTTAGAGTTGAGCAAGTCAGGATTGAACCGTAGTAGAGTTTGTGAATTCAAGCCCAAGTTGAGGCAGCACAAGTTCTCCAATTTCCGCCGTAGAATGATGGAACTAGCACGACTAGGACATGAGGTTGGCTTGGTAGACAGTGTTAGGCAAGACCGAAGAAATACATAGCTAAGTACTCTCATCTGCTTGTAGAATACTAAAAGGTGGTGAAAAGATATAGGTGGGGAACTTAGCTACAAAACGTTCAACAAAGCAACTGCTGTAATAGTTTATTCAGTAACCACTGATGTTCTCTTCGCTGATGTAAATCTTCATATCTACCATTATTTCAAGTAACAAGTATATTTCACGTTATTCTCTATACTGACTACTCTTTAGCGCAAACATAAATTGAGAATTAGGTATACTATCGTATAGTATTTTGTAACTAAATGTGCGAGAATCTGCGATGCTCTTACCTCGAACTTTGACTTTCATGTCTCATTCCAATTGCTATAAATCGGAGAAAGCGGATGAGTGGGCTATATTGACATTGAGATTGTGGTTGTGGTCTACGTTCCAGAGCAATTGGTCATGATGAGTCTGGGCTTGACACATACAGTAATCTAGAAGCATAACGTGAACGACCAGGATGAGTTTTTCGGCTGTACGCTAAAGATTGAGGCTGTATCTATAGTGGCATATAGCAATGACGAAATAGCTAAAGCTTGTATTACAAACTTAGTGTAAAATATAAAGTTTATAGAGGGATTGCATTATTTACATCTCAAGACATAGAGTGACAAACCTCGACAAACCGATTTTCCTCAACGTAGAATCAGCAACAATTAGCTTTGCACACTCCAGCTTTATCTCACGAATAGGGAAGATTCGTATGTTATGTAGCAATACATGTAGATACAACTGACTGAGAGAGCGAACAGTTGTGGAATTTCAACCCACAAGTAACGGAAGTTTGGTAACTGTCTGCCTCAATAGCTTCTAATGACAATTGCGCATCCAACACAGCGTAGCAAACACGGAAAGGAGCCAGAATCGAATGTGAAACCGGAAACAATTAATGGTAGCTCTGCAATTTATAATTTCATCCAGTATGCTTCCTGGAGCAAAACAGGAAAGCCTCGCATAATCCAACAGATATTTACTCTAATTCACTCGTAAATATACTATCATAGTGAGCCGTATCGTAAAACGCGTATACAGTATCTGTATACCTGAAAGAGACAATGCAAAAAAGGATATAGGCTTTGCACAGACAAGAACACTGGTGCTTCAGCTTACATGAGAATAATACAACAAATTGTGGGATGCAATATTTTCAACTTCTAAACGGTTAATATACGAAGGACTCACTGATATATTTAAATCCCTAGCTGAGCCAATGGCTTGTACCACGTCAGCTTGGCACGATCTTGACAATTCACGGCTGCTCCAGCGAGTATAACGATAGCGTTCTGAAAGCGTAAATGGCCTACTGTTTATTTACATCAGTAAATCCATGATATTATTCGTGTTAAGACCTATTTCTTCTATATTAGCTTAACGAAGCATATTAAGCTTAAAAAAATATAAGTATTAAAGATGTTAAAAGCGACTTTGAATTGCGAATATTCTTACTATCCCAAGTAATAAATCTCGGTAATTGAACTTTGTGATTGTATCTGGTTAGTCCCGGATATTCTCTACTATGCAGATTAATTCCACGCCATTGTACGATAGCTAGAATGGAAACATAGAGAACCCCAAGCATGATAAAAATTAAGTTGTAAGTCGGAATACTAAAGACCATCTCTCGGCCTGCATCGGAGCTGCCACAAACAATTACCACCAACGTAGACACATCTAGGGCAACGTTCGTCGACACAATCATATCCTCGTCCACAGAATTGGCTGCAGCGCGACACGAGTGGATGTATGGATCCCGCGCCAACATTGGCCGCAACCTTGCACTCATAGTCCTTGCGGCAGTCTGTGCTGCATTTCTTGTTTCCACCCGGGTCGTTTTGGACAAATTGATCATAGTAGTATTCAGCGCCTTTATCGTCGACAAGGGCGACTCCGTACAAGCGGTCATTAGTAGTTGAATTAAACTCTTGAATCAAGACGACGTTATCCGCGGGTTTCTGATAAGTAGTAAACGTGTCATTGTCGTGGATTTTTGCCCTTGCATTGTCCAGGGCAGCTCGGCCGGTGGGAACAGCTTGTAGGTGCTCCTGTGCATCTGTTTGTTCCGCCAAGCAGCAGTGTAGGCCAACGGCTAGCATGAGTAACACGTTCATAATATGTGTGGCAAACATGGGGATATACAAATGCAATTGAGTAGACCTCAAGTCGTTTTTAGTTGGATATAGTGATAATTAAGAATGAATATGCCACTATAAAGCCGAGCAAAGAGCATATCATATATATGACACAGTCACCAAGTGTATTCTACCTATACCGTTTGGCTTTTGTGTAGTGGCTTCAGAGCTTGAGGTCAACAGTATCAGAGGTAAAACGAAGTCAGTATACCCAATCTATCAGAGCCCTTGGTGAGTGCGCAAAGGAAGACCAATTCGTTTTCATATAGCGGACATTCCTGTCAATGCCGTCCTACACCAAATCCGCACCCGGCTAGTATGCAACGTCAATGGCGAAGAGCCGAGAAGCCACTTGCCTACTCATTCGTGAATGAAACTGCCACAAAACGAACAAAGATTCAGAATCAACATGTTGAGTTCGCCTACGCGTGGAGAGCAGGTATGCAACAGTTAGAGTTAAGTGTATTTGACATGCGTGGATATACAATCCCTAAAGTGGTAAGCGGCGTCAAAACAGCTAAGCGGTGCTTGAACCAATAACCCTATTTGTTTTAGCTAAGAGCAGGCATGGGGAAACTGCAAACCGTTTAATAAGCTTTCAGCCACAAATATTTTTTGCTGAACATGATTCTAGCCTTTACATTTGGAGAAACATTATTGCCAGACTTAGCTCGAAACTTTTGAAGTGCTCGTAAACCCCTCATCCTTTGCCCGCCAAGGCCCTCCCACCATCTAAAAAGCAATCTCGATTTACAGGCGTAGCTGGTTGCGGTTGGCTGCGAGCAAGGCTGGGGCAGATGACGAGGCATTTAGTTCGCTAACACGATACTGAAACATACATATATATCTTGATCTAGGTAAGAGCTTTAGCAGTAACTTTAGAGTTGCAGCGTACTAAGTAGGTCAACGCCGTGACTTCCTTGCACCGCGGCTTTCGATCCCCATCCCATAACATTGGCATGTTCTGGATTTAATCTCTACACATGCAAATACACGAAAAAAAAAAATACGAGGAAACAAAGCTAAACCATCTCGCATAGCATCCTCCTCGCCTAAGCCATGCCACAGAACACTACAACAGACAAGGAAGATGCCCAGAACTTCCTCGCCGCGCATCCTGAGGTTCTTGTCGGTAGGGATGCTCTACGTGAGGAAAGGGCTAAGATAGGGGGAGACGACGCCAACACATTTGCCATCTACAATAAACCGGTCAGCAGTATTGTTCTAGTTCAGGAGTTTGATGCCGATACGAAAGAGCGCGTCTTTGCGGTTGCGCTAGTAGATGATGAGCAGGCCGAAGAGTACTACAGAAAATACGAAGACAAGGAAGAGCCATCCGACCAAAGCAGCGGCGATGCCACACAACCGCGTCCATTCCTATTCGAGCGCGCGCCGACAGCCTAAATGTGGGAGGAATGTCGCAATCATGGCTATGTATGGAACACTAGATATCACTTGAACTAGTAGTATGAGTAATCATTCGCGGCGAATGCCCATTACATTGAATTCCACATCTTTGGTTACAATAATATATAACTACGTGATGGACTTCATGAAATATGTCTCATTCTACCTTTATTCCTACAGCTGGTACCTGGTCAACTAGGATGCAGATCTACCGTGCGATGAACTTCCACTTACTTACATTGACTATTTCATTAAATAGAAATAGCTTTTAAATAGGGGGACTTTTAAAGCTCGCATATAATCTAGGGTACGTGCTGAATCTTGTAATAGCGCATTTTAGGCTACCACATTGAAGTCAGCGGTAGAAGGGTCTTATAAAGTTTGCGTAGTATGCTACATACAATAACACACACCGAGAGTGTATATAGATGTTTAGTATATTTTCTTCTGAATTTATACAAAACACAAAAATAGACTAGAGGCATAAGAAGAGAAAGCAAAAGGCCATGCGTATAGAGCATACCTTTAAACCCATATGTATATATTATACCTAGAGTTCCTAATGCAATGTGTGTTAAGAATCCCAGTGAATTTAATCCGGATGCTTCGGACACAGCACCCAATAGGCGCAAGGCTGATATTTGCATTCCAGAATCAAGGGATAATATAAAAAAGCATTACTATTAGCAGCATTGCGATCGATTAGTAATAGAGTATAGAAGGCATTTTAGTTCTAAGCTAGGCTAATATTATTAGCCTCCCTTTATACTTAAATACTATTATATAAGTCTCATGTATATTTATTTAATAATAACTTTAAATATAAGGTAATTAATTCAATTATTATATTAATGTTAATGTTAATAATTAATTACTTAAGCTTCTATTTAATAAAAGTAATAAATAATTTTATATAGTAAGTTATTTTAAGTAGTTTATAATTTTAATTATAAACCCTTTTAAGGGCTTATATCTATAATAGTAATTTATTTAGGATAGCTTATAGTTTAATTTATAATCCTTGTTTTATTGGCTGGTTAGTCTGTAGTATATCCGTAGATATGTTTCTAATGGTGGTTGGGTTGTAACAACGCACGTACGACCGAGCAAGATCTTGACTTAGCATTGCACCATGCTCATTGCGGGTTCGAACTCAGCCCCTGTGTAAACAAATAGCAAGTAATTTATAACCAAGGATTACAATCTAGGATCAATCCCTCTGATAGATAGTTCTTTCCATAGAAGTCTTTGTAAACTGCAACTTCTATGATACGCCCACCAACACTTTTTTGCCGGGAGCAGTATGCGTGCAGCACGATAAAAGTGAAAGAGAAAGACAAGCGCTCGCGAGTCCCTTTTGTTTATGAGCTCGACAAATGGTCCACAACAGAGGATTGGAAATCCGTAGAACAGCTGCTCGATATCCTCCTCAAGCGATTCGGCAGGACCAGGCGGCTTTGTATTTTGTAAAAATTTGAAAGATGCGCAGCATAATAGAGGTGACAAACGGCGTACAATATTCGCGAATGAAGAGCGAATCAAGTGCGGGGGTGGTGCGGCTGAGGTATTTAGCTGATCGGTGCAGGTATAATTGGTGGTAACTTTTGTAATGGCCTCTTTGAAAAGCAGGAGTGTGTTGCTCTCATCTGGCTCTTTTAGCACTGATGCTCCTGTATATCGTGAGAAGCCTCGGCACGGCAGTTCCATAAGCGGCAACAGTGGTGCACCCTTCAGATTGATAGCGCGGGTTGTCCCAAATTCTCATAAAGGGTGCTACAAAGCGAGCAGGGTCTTCGCCTTTCCTTCTCAGCATCTCTTCTATCTTTAATCTCGGGTCTTTATAAACAATCTGAGCAAATACACTTCCTTCGTCGATAAAGACAGGTATAGCATGAAACCACAGCTGGATAATCCCTGGACTGAGAAGGAATAACTGGTCCTGGGCGAGATAATAGTCTGCTGTAGAGTCAGCAGTTCTAGTGCGATCCATAAATCCGATATTAAACCATGATATATAGTTGACAAGGAGCGCCGCTCCCATTAGTATCTCACAGTTATCCTTTGTTAAGGGACGCGATAGATTTTTTCGAAAGAGTTGAATAGTTTTTCCCATTAGTTGTATCGCTGCATGCGAATATTTAGGATTCTGCGGACAGAGGGTTGACAGATGCATGGCGGCAACGCATAAAATAGCAGACATTACAAAGTCTTCCTATTTTCAATCAGCCAAATTATTGGGGTATAGACATGGGCGAAGCGGCTGCACATTAAAAGCACGTTGTAGGATGATAGGCCAAATTTGGGGAAATATGAGCGTTGGTCGGGTCTCCTTATCCCAGTGATGAAATAATTCCAGATGCAGGAGGTTGACATGAGGTTTCATGCTCATCTCTGGACGGGCGCTATGTATGGAAACTGTCGGTGAGAGGACATGCTGCCGAAGAGGCTGTAGGCATTGAATATTCCGCTTAATGCAACTTGAGCATGGGATGTGCTCATCACACTATGACGCCGACAAGATATTAGCATCGTCTATATCAAAGCCCACAGTATAGCTTCATACTTTGACTCTCCGGCGCTTGCATGCAATGCACCCTCGCCGACTCTTGCAGTGGGGACGCTTCTTGCGCGGCTGGTCAATGATTCCGATGGTTTGTAAAATTTGACCCGTATCTGATGGTGCTAATATAGTATTAGCAAAAAGGGTAGAGGACATTTGTGCATATAATGAAACGGATATATGTGCGCGAGAGAAAAAATTGAGATAAACAGTTTTGAGAGAAGTGTGATTTTACTGAATATCCGGTAGACGTCTTTGAAAACTCAGCCCCCTCAGCCGTCGCATTCCCAACTAGGAATGCGAACTCTGCTGCAAGTATATCAGCTAGGGTAAACTAACCTAAATAGGTTAAGAGAAGCAGGTCAACTAATACCTAGTTAGGTAAACGAGAGAAGTCGATGCAAGATAATCTCGATTGTATTTTAGATATGGGCAATGCAGAATAGCTATTCAGAAAAGGAGGCTTGTATAAGAGGTATACGTAATGCAGTTGCAGTATCGACTATATAAGCCACTTAACTATCCCATTAACAATGTCTATTGTCATTAGCATCACTATCTCGTGTACTCCATATACCAAGTCGATTTACCCGCTATGGCGTCAGTTCCACCAGGCGGCCTCATTCTTGTCACAGGCGCCAACGGCTATGTTGCCAGCGTCGCCATCAAAGTCTTCCTACAGCGCGGTTACCGTGTACGTGGCACTGTTCGCTCCATCGCTCATAATTTCTGGATGGAGGCATATTTTGGCTCCAGATTCGAGCTTGTCGAGGTGCCAAACATCAACACTCCGGGTGCGTTCGATGGAGCTCTGAAGGATGTTGATGGCATCGCCCACATTGCTATGAATATGGATATGAGCCCACATAACCAGTCCATAATCGACGAAACGATCAATTCCAATCTACAACTGCTTGATGCGGCTGTAAAGGAGCCTAGTGTTAAGAGTGTGGTTATAACGTCATCTTTGGCTGCGTGCGCCCTCCCCACAAAAGGCGTTCCGTACAGAATCGATTCAAAGACTTGGAATAATGCGGCTATTGAGAAAACAGCTACGCCGTGGAATCTCGAGGGAAATCCGCGTTGGCACGGAATCATCCTCTACGGAGCTTCGAAAGCGCGTGGCGAACAAGAAGCGTTCGCATGGGTGCGTGAGCATAAGCCGTCCTTCTCTTTCAATACAGTTGTGCCCAATGTAAATTTTGGCACGGCGGTATCACCAGAGAATATGGGATATCGCAGCTCTTCAGCCGTCATCGACGCTGTTGTGAAAGGCTACCCCGCTGCGCCAACCATTTTACCGTCGCAGTGGTATGTCGACGTTGAAGATACGGCGTTACTACACCTAGGCGCACTAACGCTCGATGATGTGCAAAGCGAACGGCTGCTTGCTTTTGCTGGGAGATATTCATGGACCCAGATTCTCGAAATTCTTCATAGAAGGTATCCACAAAAGATCATGTTAAAGTCGGTTGATGAAGCTGCGACAGATGCTGGAGAAATAGAGAATGGTCGCAGCATAGAGATCCTGAAGAGAATGGGAAAGAATAAAGGTTTTACCTCATTAGAAAATACTCTGGTAAAAGCTCTAGACACAATCATGGAGAACCAGTCCAAGAATATCCCAAAGACAAGGATAGATCTGTTCTATGAGTCTCTTAAACTAACAAATTAACATATATCGGTAGGGACAGATATTAATAAAGAGCTCTTCTAATATTATTTTTTTCTCTCTTCTTCTTGGTTGCTCGCAATAAAAGAATGAACCGTGCAATCATATTAATCGCAGAAGTCCTCTGTAAAGTATGGCGCACAAAACTCATTAATATAGCTCTAGTAAGCCACTTCATCAACTACAACAATACCTAGCTGCTTTAGGGTTGCTTCATGTCGATATAACCATTAGCGAAGTAATATAATGCCGACAGCGCTGCCGTCTATGAATACTTTTCAACCACAAACTTAATTCTACCCTACCGCCGAAGTATTCAAACAATTTTACCCTTATTGGTCGTTACTAGTATTGGCTGTGAAGTTTTGAAATACATGAGATCAAGAGTAGCCCATATTTATCTGTCATTATGGGGTAGCAAATAATGCTAGCACTGGTTATATAAAAATATACAGTAGTATACAGAAGGAAATTTTAGCTAAACGCAAATAGTTTACTGTTGTTATATTAGCTTGTGCATTAGCTTGATCTAATGGTAAATATATTATATATCGCCACTTGGTCTCTGCCAGCTCACAATCATGCCTCTAGTGAACATATAGCTTTCCTTAGCAAAACGAGTATGCCAATAAGCCACTCACCTTATAGCGGCCTCATGTGCTATTATATTAGCATTAGTATCTGCAGCTTGTAGGTAGAGAAAAACAGATCCAAATCCTCGGGTCGATACCCATCAGTCGAATACTCGACAATACTGTATGAATTGTTGCTTTCCGGCAAGGAACTAGACGGAATATCATAGAGGGAGTACAAGCAGTCCAGAGTGGTCAAATTGGCACAATTGTGAAGACCAGTGCCACTGGGCGGTAAATAGCTCTGTGTTTATTGGAGAAGCTGCTATTTTCACGCTTTTTTTCTCGAACTGAAGTCGTCAGCGATAGCTTGGCATCCAAATGAATAGTCGGAAAGATCAAATCTATGGCATTAGCGCTGAGGTCCGAAGGAAGATGGTACTGCTCGCAGGCGGTGTGATTACGGCCCTTTCCGTTATCGTAGACGTAATACTGTGTCTTCGGGAGTTGTTTCGCTTTAGAAACCGTGACATTTCCCGTCATCCAATGTTTGCCCTTGCCCAAGGAGATGTCATTACTATTAATACCAGCTTGCAGCAACCACGAGATCACCGATGACACCGTCTCGTCGCTTCGTCTTATCAGCAGATTTCCTTGACAAATAGTGTCGCACACATAATCATGTCACTTATTTAAGTGGCTCGGCGCAATAGGAACGGCGGATGTGAAAGGCTCACGCTGGCGCAAACATGTTGACCAGTTGTTCTGGTGTCAAGTGCTTTCTATAGTTACTACTTGTTGGGTTTGAGATGTCGTATAAGAGTTCCTCGCCGTGCTTAATGTTTTGCTGTCTCGAGCCAATTCGAAGTAGCAGACAAGCCTGGCTGAGCTCTACCTTGTTTAGTCCAGCCTTAGGGAGTATTAATGAGTTCTTCGTGAACGACAAGGTTTCCGAGAGCATTCGTCCAAGGAACCCAACATAGGATATTGTATGCCCCGAACTAAAAGGCGGTGGAGCGCATAATGGTTTCGCTTCTGCAAAAAGAATTATCAACCGTAGCGAGACGAGACAAGAGCAGCTGCAAAAATTAAAATATTACAATTTATATATAACAACTATAATCCTTACGTTTGGCAAAATACAAGCGCCCAGGTCACAAATGATACATCTTTAGTAACAGGTAACAAAATTGACAGGAAGCAAACTCGTATCTCTAATACGAAAATGTCTCGTAATTGGACTGTTACTAGGCCTATTGTGGTAAGGAAGCAAAACGGCATTGCTACTCTGTAGTAAATTTACAAGGCTGCTTGCGTCCTACTATAAGTTACCTACCTCTAAAATATCAGCAGTTTTGGCAACAAGGGGATAAAGGTAACACTATGCTATTAATAGCACCTCGTATCTCCCGTAATGTCGATTAATTTCCCAATACGAGAGTATGTCTCTGGACGCCGTATACAAGACCTGAAAATCTACTCTATTAATTTTCAATAATAAATAATGTAAGAAACTGCAAGATAATCTTAATCTTGCTATTGAGTTTCATTTATCTATTAAAGACTTCTTGCACTTTATAATAGATTTCTTATAATTGCATTATTACTTGTTGTCTAAGATGGTTTACAGTATTCGTGCAACTGCCGCTGCTGTAGTGCTGCTTGCAAGATGCAGCTCTGCATCAATTCTTGAATTTCCAGTTACGTTTCGCAATACCTATGTTAGTCTACTCTAGCATTACCAGTCTCTAATTATGCTGCAAGGTCGCGTTTAACATTATAACTGTAGGCTTGCGTGGATATTCTCGTTGGCACGCCACCCCAGAATCACATTCTTGTCTTTGACACAGGTAGTGCCACTTCTTGGATAGCGGACAAAACATGTGCCAACGGAGGATGTGACAACTTTAGCGGGTAGGTCCTACAGAATCGCCCATCAGCTGTCTTTTTAATAGCTAACCGAGCTTTTGTGCGTATATTAGCTATCCCTGGAAGGGATATGATGCAAATAGCTCCGTGACCTCGAAAGACCTGGGTATCTACGACTCGATCGATTATCTTGGTGGTGGAACGGGCGGAGAGGCTTACAGCGATAAGTTCTCCAAAGATGGTTTAACTTGGACGCAGACTTTCATCTCTGCTAACCAGACCTCGATGGGTTTTATAGCAGGAGAGGGATTCTTGGGGTTGGCTTTCTCATCAATTGCTGAGCAAGCCACAAAAACAGTAATGGAGACTTTGATGCAGGATGGCCTCGTAGACAACCCCAGGTTCGGTCTCTATTACGGTACGGAGTTTAATGATACTCATGGTCACCCTGGCAAGGGTTTACTTACTCTCGGGGGCTCTCATGAGAGCAAATACGTGGATGGCGACATCACCTGGGTTCCCGGAAAGAAAGACAACGGAGTATACGAGCTCTGGCGGTCAAACCTGAAGACATTTTACGGACAGCGCAAGGATAACAACGGCAATCCCCAAACCAACGGATCTCTCCAGTATGAGCTCGGCGCGGCGAATGGCGTGTTTGACACTGGAGCTGGACTCATCTACGTGCCAGATGACACCATTGACACCATTTATGATTCTATCGGATGGAACTATACGGCTCTTTTACACGGCGACTATATCCCATCCTGCACCGATTTCAACTCAACGTGGTCAGTCACGTTCACGTTTGAGAGCGACAAGGGTTCTGATTTCACTAACATTACCCTGACTGGTGACCAACTCCGAATTCCAGGCTTCGCCTACCAACCAGATGCGTGCAATCCACCCTTTTCCACCAGCGGCAGCCCCTATCTGTTCCTCCTCGGCCAACTCTATTTGCGCAATTTCTATTCTATCTTTGACTTTGGAGGGAAAAAAGCAGAGGACTTTAACGTCCTGATTGGTTTCGGTAACCTGAAGAAAGAATGGAGGATGATATAACCCTTACTGTTGTTTTGTTGTTTGGAGGTATAAGACTTTGTAATACTAGTGTGGAGAAAGGTTTATATTTTAAACTATTATACTAACTAATGTTTATAAAAGAATCCATGTAGAAAGTTAGTGTAGTTTTTTAGTAATAAAAAAATACTATAAATAATTAAAGTATAGAAAGTAATTAAATTTTATAATAAAAAGTAACTAAAATTTTAAATAATAAAATAGCTAAAATATATATATATTGTAAAAGTTAACCAATACATATTATAAATATATATATATTCCAGTAAGTTAATTTATTAATAATTATTTTTTAAAATAAAATTTATAATAAACTTAATTATCTCAAGTGTCACGGCCTTCCCTGCCAGGAATAGCAGCACCTGCCCCACTTCGCGCCATCGCCGCTTTGTGCCCCTCTATAAAGACCTTCCCCCCGTCCACCTCGCTCATCTTGTTCCGTTCAGCAATCTTTCACATTCTACACCCCCTCCCCTTCTGCATTCAGCTTCAGTTCACTCGCTGACTCCGCCCTGCTTACTCCCTTTGCTGGCCTTGATGCAGTACCCTGGCAGGCACAGGCACAGCAGCCGGTGATCTTTCAGCCATTCCCTTCGACTCGCGACGAACAAGGGCAGGGCAGCCCTCTCGATTCTCAACGCGATTCTAGCTGATAGAATATCTAGATATGTAAATATTTCAGACATCACGTCTATGACCCTCTTCCTCGTAATAGTCGATACTCCCTTCACCTCCTGCGTCGCGAAGAATCTTTTCAATTGACTCAAGGCGCGACAGCTTATTGAGCGCCCCTAGACAGTACTGCCTTGCCCTCGCCATCCTTCCAATTGACGTCAGCGCCGTGATCCAGCAATATGCGGATCGTTTCCTCCACTCCACCCACCTCAACGGCATACGATAAAGGCGTACGGCCACGACTCAGGGTTGTAAAATTAGTTAGTAGTTTTTAGTTTTTAGTTTCGTTACTAATGAATAATTTTGTTTTTAGTTACTAAAAACGAAAATAAATTAGTTTCGTTACTAATATAAGAAACTAATTTAGTTTTTTTTATATATTAAAAACTAATTTTATTTTTTATATATAAAACTAAAAAAATAAATTAGTTTTTTATATGTAAGTAAATTAGTAATAAAATGAATTTTATTTTATTACTAAATTTATTTTTTATATATAAAATTTGTTTTTTTTATNTAAATTAAATTTATAAGCTATATAAGCTAAAATTTAAATATATAAATAATATTATTATAATATAATTTAATAAATATATTTTATTTATATTATTTTTAAAAACTAAATTAGTTATTAATTTGTTTTGTTTTTGTTTTTTTGTTTTTAGTAACTAATTTACTAATAAAAAGCAAATGCTATATAAAAAACGAAAAACGAAAAACGAAATTAGTTTTGTTACTAAGACCTTCGTTTTTAGTAACTAATTTAGTAACGAATTTACAAGCCTGCCACGACTATCCTTTGAATCAACCTCAGCACCTTCATTCAATAGTTCTTCCACTCGACGGATGAGTCCAAACAAGAACGGCGTATGATAAGGGCGTATGTCCAAGGTTATCCTTCGCATCTATTCAAACGCCTCGCTCAAATAGCAAGTCGAGCATTGTGTTACCTGCGTCGACTCTATGGTGAACATCGAATAGGTGGCTTAAAGGAGTTCGGCCACCATTATCCCTCAAATCGACCTCGATATCTTGGTCGAGTAGGAGCTCAATAATCTCCGGGTAAAATCCCCTGACGGCGTAAGATAAAGGTGTTTGTCCGTAGTTGTCCCTCGCATTAGCATCTTCTCCAGTCTGAAGAAGATACTGGACGAGTTCCACAGCGCTATAACAGCTTCTCACTGCACACATCAGAGGTGTTTGGCCCTCCTTGTTAAGAGTGTTGACATCCCCCCCCCCCCCATGGATAGCAGTAGCTTAAATGTAGCATAGCATTCATTACCTGCAGCAGCCAAGCAGAGTAAATTCCTACCATCCCGAGCCTCATGCTGGATTTGGACGTCCTTAATCTCGAGAAAAACCTCCACAACTTTGTTAGCTCCCGAGCGGACTGCGTAGAACAGTGTGGTGGCAGACCATCCTGGTCTTCCAAATTACAATCGGCTCCTGCTTTGATCAGAGCTTTGACGCTACCAAGGTTGCCTTCTTCGGCAGCATATGATAGTGGCGTTCGACCAAGGTTACTCTTCGAGTCTTGGTCAACTTTTCCGGTTCCGAGAAGTGTCTCAAGGATCGAAGTAAAGCCAAATTGAGCAGCTGGTGATAGGGGTGTTCTCCCATTTTCATCTGCTGTGTCCAGATCAACATTTTCGGTACTTAGAAGGAGGTCGACTACAGAGTCCTCACCGCTCGATACTGCTATTGAAAAGGCCATTGCACCTGCCAGATAATTGCCCTCGGGGACCTTTGAATTGGTATTGACGGCATCAATCTTTAAGAGTAACTCAACAATGTCTCGTCGTCCGCGGACCGCGGCGTAATTTAACGCTGTCCAACCGTAATCATCTTTCATGTCAATATTTATTAGTCTTGCATAATCAGGCATCCCTGTCTGAGAATCCTTGACTTGACCAGCTCTATCGAGTAGTTTCACCGTGGTTAGATCACCTTCTGACGATGCCAAGATTAACGGTGTTTTACCTTCACGGTTTACTATGCTGGGATCGACTTCGTCAGCCGCCGGTAGCCTTTCAACAATCTCATGGCTTTTACAAGCAGTAGAGATAGCCTCCAGAAGGGGTGTTTCACCAAAGTTGTCTTTCCGATCCGGAGCAACGTTGCCAGTCACTAAAAGTAATTAGACAGCATCCTGATTGCGATAAGCCACAGCTTCAAAAAGTGGTGTTCGGCCCATGGAATTTATCGATTCAAGGTCAACTTCTCCGGTGTCAAGCAGCATCTGTACAATTGGTGTATGGCCCTTGGAGGCGGCGATGTGTAGTGGAGTTTCACCCCTGTTGTCCTTCACATCTGCCTTGCATTTCCCAATTTTAAGGAGCATATGCGTACCGACTTGGTTTCCACAAAGGCAAGCAGAGGCGAGTGTTGTTCCCCCAAGGTGATTGGCCGCCTCTGGGTCAACCTTTTTGTTCTCAAGGAGGTGCTTTCATTGCCTCTAATGGACTCCCAGTGTAAGGGCGTGCTGCCTACTCTATCTCGTGGATTAGGATCTCCGATATTGTTGAGCAAAGTCTGCATCGCGTAATCAAGATTGTAGTACGCTGCCACATGCAGTGCTGCTAAGCTCAATGGCTCATAAGTCGTGCCGCTTTCTTCCCAATACATGATATCTTGGATTAAATTATAAATATATAAGCTTATAATAGTTTATTTAATAATTAACAGGGTTACTTATAAACTATAATTTTTTAAATAGGTCTGTTAGTTTATATGTATTTTATAAAGTATATGCTTTTTATTAACTAATATATAAACAAGTAGTTAGGTTATAATACTTTATATTATTTATATATACTAGTATTTTACTAGTAATTAGTGTATTTTGCAAGTTAAATAACCAGTAGGTTAACAAACAGGTATTTCTATTATGCTTTTAACCTAAATATTTTATCTCGCCTTATTCAATCTGAGTAGAGGGAGGGTTAAACCGCGTGCACTCAGAGCCGTAGTGCATTCCAATAGTGTACCCGCTACTGGTATACGCACTTGTGCCCAGGGTTAAATCCGCAAATTCAAAGATTGCATTTCCCCAATATTGATAGCTTTCTCCTCCTGCAGTTGCGGTACAGGTTAAGGGTGTGCCAGATACATAGGTGCCGCCGGTTGCCGAGCATGTAAGTACAGCGTAGTCCGAGGGGCTGGCAGCGAGGTCGGCAGGGTCAACTTCGAAGACACGCACATTGTCAACGAACGGCTGTTGGAGTGCAAGGATAAAGCCATCTTCCGTTGCCAGCTGGCCTGTATTTTTCAAGGCGTCCAGGTCAAACATGACCGGCCAGAGAGTAGGGTGGCCGGTGTCAAAATCTGCTCTGAATGGCATGTCGCTTCCTGAACCCGCTCCGGAGGCGACCCACCCGTCGACAAAATCATCGGAGTAATCCACAATCAGGCAGAAAGGCAGTGTCGCAGTAGCGGTTGCTACAGTCTGAAGAAATACTCAGTAAAAGTCGCAGCAAACAGGGCTTTAATACAGCCCAATCAAGGGCGGCTAGGACCACTTACTGTCGTTGTGGATGTGATAGTCGCTGTTGTTACTGTTGTAGTTACTGCAGAAATTGTATTTATAGTAGTGGCAGTTGTAGTTGTGGTCACCTGTACTGAAAATTAATATATACTTGGCTTTTACAGGCAGCATCTGTATAGCTAACTTACCGTAGAGGGTAGTGTAGTTGTTACAGTATTGGTTCCAGTTTGAATTGTAGTCTTGGTAACCGCGGCAGGGGTTATAGTCTTGGTCTTTGTCACCGTCTTATGTACAACCGTGGGTACCCATATAGTTCTTATCTCCGTTTTGTATATTGTCTCGCAAGGAGGAGGGGGAGGGGGATAATAGCCCCGGTTGTCGCGCTTGAGAGGGCTAGTTGTCACTGGAGAGGATGGAGAGATTGTAGTAGTAGTTGTTGTCGTGGTTGTAGAAGCTGCCGTTGAGGTTATAATATCTGTCTCTGTACTAGTGAATACTGTAGTTGACGCCGTGCTTGACTTATAAGTTAGCAGAGTTTAAATCAAGGAGTTTAAAGTAAGGTGTTTACGCAGTAGAGGTAGCAGTAACTGTAACAGGAGCGAAATCAGTTTGATAGGCTACATTTGTTACATCTGAAGTAACTGTCTTAGTTAAAGGAATGGCCTATGAAATATTGTAAATAATTAAGTAATAAAAAAAAACAATAGCTGGCAGTATACCGTTTTTGTACAATAGTCTGTGCGCGTTTTTGTCCACAAAGCCCAATCTTTCGTTATTATAACTGTATATAGGTGTTAAAAGCCTTGAAACTCTATGCTTATATAACTGTATGCATACCTTCTTTGACTTTAGTAATCTTGCAAGGCTTGTTATAATTGTCCCAAGGAAGAGCAAGTGCCGCTTGGAACACGACATTTCCAATAAGGAACTTTCGGAGGATGTACATAATAATGGCTAAAATGCAACAGTAGCTAATAAAGTCTAATAAAGACAGTATTGCCTACCTTAGAATTGTCGATTGGAACCATCCTAAATAATAGGAATATAATGTTGTCTTTAAGGAGAAATAAGCTGCTACTGCTGCCTTATTTGCAGATTTTACTATTGAGCAAGCAAATTACAATGCGTTTTGAGGCTATTGGAAAAACTATGGAGATAAATCAATAGTCATACAATAGTTACTATTTAGGAAGATTTTATTGCTTCTAGCTGAGCCGCCACTATCGAGATTCTGTAAAAACAGGTTAGTAAGTATCTGAGCTAGAGTCCAGACTATGCTTAACAGGGTTAACCCGCATATATACTAGCCTAATTGAGATTGTCTATTTTAATCTAACAGAAGTATTGCCAGCTGAACCTAGATCCTAACTTAATAAAAAAAAAAGTTAACCTTTAGAAATTTAAACCAACTATTTTTTATATTACACTCTGTTGGCATCTTGGAATTTATACCCTAACATATACCTAATAAATAACAAAGATAAAGATAATACAGCCGATTTAAATGCATTTCTCTTGAAAAATTAATTGCTATAGCTTACTATATCAAGCGTCCTGCAGCCATAGCCTTAGGCCATCTGCGCCAAAATCCTAAAGCTCTCCAATCTTTCTTTGTGGATTTCCAAAGTCTAAAATACCTAATGCATAGGACTATGTTGTATCCAGCAGTCTAACAAAAGAGTCATGTAGTTAAACGCCTGACGAGATTTGCTACAACTGCTCCTAATATAATTTCCAGGTAGCACTAGCAGCTACTAACTCCAACAAGTATCCCAGCGACAGTATTATAATTCTGTAATAAACCATTCACTAGATAGTTAATATAGGGTAGATTCATAAGGGATAAACCTAGAATAAGTTCTTCGGGCTTATATGGGCAGATAGGTTAGGAAACCTTGTAGGCAATGTAGTATTATAATTATACGAACTATCTAGTGTATGGTTCATCACAGTTACATCAGGCCCTGAGCGACCATGGTGCCGTTGGCAGGGCCAAAGCTGGTTGGAACAGTTTGAAGGGACGTTATATTGGTGGATTCTTTGCGAAAGATAAGAGATAACCAATACAATAAAGTAGTACAGATTTCTTTATGGTAATAGAGTCAAGGAGCAGTTGTATCGCCTACAATAAAGTAATTTACGCACGGGACTAGGGCACATTTATAGGGTGATCTCACACCTACGACGGCCAGGAAGTATGTAATGCTGCTGCTGCTGCCCGATAACATACCTCTCCGCTACGGAAATTATCTATGGCGATGAGATTATAGTCTGCATGAATTATTATACAAACTCAAAGAAAAAATGGGTACTCGATGAATAACCCTGTTCTTAGTGGTAGAATACCACTCATAACTCGGCATTTGTGGCTACAAACCGAGGGTACATCTCGATTTCGGAATGGTTAGTAATCGCATACTCTGTGCCCTAATGGCCGCTGTTAGTACATCCGTTCCGGTAATGCTGCGGCGTATGACTTTTCACTTTTGCATCCTCATTCTTATCTGCAGTGCCCAGGTAATCATAGCCCTCCTCCCAATAGAAGATCCAATGGGACCCTAACGTCGTGGCGTTTATTCATTGAGAGGGAGAAAAAAAATATGTAATAGGAGGATTTTAGGTTCCAACAGACTAGAAAGATGTGAGGAAGCTCGGATCTCAGTTGGGCGTTCTGATTACTCAACATGAGCATCATTTTGGTGCTTGACTGGTTTCGGGGGGCAGTTGCGGGGGCAGGTACCGGCAGAACAAAGCTTTCCTGGGCTTATAAATCGCTTTTGCAGTGTAGTATATAGTAGAAGTGAAGCACATTTGATCAGTATTTTACAGAGGCGTTGGTTCATGACTACACAGAAAAGATCTCTTTCCTTTGCCTTTCACGCATGCTATTCACCAAGACTTGGCCCAATGTCCCCATCAACGCCGCTGAGGGCATCTCCTACTTCACTCCGGCTCAAAGTCCACTAGCAAGAACTGCCCGCATCCCCCAGACAAGCGGCAAGCTTATTCCTAAGCTTTTCCAGCCCCTGACCATCCGAGGCCAGACATTCCAAAATCGTCTAGTCGTACGTGCTCTCCGTTGTTTCATGTGGCTCTTCTAAAAACTTGCAATCTTCATGATTGTTACATAAGAGCGTATCTGCTAATGTATTTTCCCCGGAAGGAAGCTAGTGTAGCACGACTTAGATATCTCTCGCCGCCGCTAGGATAAGTAGGCTCTTTAAAGGTGCGTTAGGCGGCCTATAAAGGAAGCTTTTACTTAGACCTGTGTGGGCCGTAGAACTATCTATATAGATAACGAGAGTATAATGAAGCTAATATGGCGTTTTCGCATACCTGGATTGAGTTATATCAATGCGAGGCTTCATCCCTGAACGGCGGGAGAAATATGAGGAAGAACATATTATAGTTAGACACTACATACATGGTAGGCTGTAGAAGAAGACATCTATCTAGCAGGGCAGGGCTAACAACCCCGGGGGGTTATTCCATCTTCAACAGCATCGCACCACATTCAAATATGGTCATCAACCCCTCTGCACTTGTGGCTTCCTCGGGACAACCATTCATTTATCATCGAAAATGTTCTTCGAGCTTAACAATATCGAGTCCTCCGAGAATTAAGGCAGGAGCTTGTAGGTATTCCAATAGAGCCAGACCTCTTTAAATTGTAGGCCGTCCACCGTCCCTCGTGCGTTGTTGGAACTGATTTTGCAGACCATCGATAGAGGGACGTTTACGGTGGGTTTGTCGCTTTCGTTGCCGGCAGCCCAGATGTAGCGGAAGACATGAGACACTAGGCCAACTGTCCCGTCGTCGTTCTGTGTCTCCCAAATTTTCACAAAGTCGTTTGAGAGCTTCTCGAACTGAGCAAAAAGTTGCTGGATCCAAGGTCAGATTTGATCACCGCTGTAATCTACACCATTCTGGTTGTGAGAAAGAGCATTATCGGCATAGAACTGGGGGATGTCTCCGCCGCTCAAATTTTTGGCAGTGACCGCGGTGGCATATTTTTTGTAGAAGGCTTGGGATGGCGTTTGAGGCCTAGTGGCGGTCAGCTCCGCGCCGGTGACAAGGGAGGCGAGGTTAGGCATAACAGAGAGAGGACTCTACTGTTCTTCTTCTTTATGACTAGAGGAAAATTGATTGTAGAGAAGACCAAAGTGGCAAAGGACGCTTTTCTAAAAGTCGTGGGGCAGCAAAACCAGCTTGGTGCCTAGCAATTCAGGGTCATGCGACGCGATTATTAACCACCAGATATTGAACTTGTAATTTTGCCGCAGGCAAGACCGTCTCCTACATCTTATCCACGAAGTAGGGACTAACCGGCCTCTTTCATAAATTACCATTTATTTCGGACCTTCGAAGGGGCCAGTTACGACGACGGCCGAGGCTCATCAAACCTCGATGACTAATCGGATTCAAGTTGCAAGCGAATGCTGGCTGACGAATGCCATTGGGGGCCGAAAGAGGCTTTGGAGTCCACTACCCTCGGTATCGCTGTTGACTCATCATGCATTTCCAGGTCTACTACTCCGTACTCGTGCTCATACATCAGAAGGGATCCACAGGGCTCTCACGAACGCCTAAACGCGTCTTGCTATAATAATGAAGAATCTAAATGTAAAATAACCCCTAACTGGGCCCCGTTTATTCCAAGACTTACCTACACCGATCCAGCATAACTAAGCACATCTCATCGTGTTTGCGCGATGGATTCGTTGATAGCAGAGTCGTGGTTAAAGGTGATGACTTTCCAGCCCCGCGCAACATTGCAACGTCCTATGTGCTACTCGCTAACTCTGTTTAGGTGGAAAATGCCATGGGCCAACGGCCTCAGCTGACCGGCGATGTCTTTGCTATGCGGGAGCAGTATAAGGCACTCGCAGATCGGGCAAATGCAACCCGAACCATTTCACCGAATATTGCCGTCGGTAAGAGCGATTTTCGAGCTTAGATAAGATGCATTCCCACTGACTGCAGATGTAGAAGATATAAAGATCAATCCCAACCTCACTGTGAGAACTTACACGCCCACAGCCGGTCAAGCACGATCCAACCCACCCCCTGTCGGATTATACTTCCACGGGGGCGGGTTTTGCTGTGGTGATTTAGACTCTGAGGACACATTCTGCAGGCTTCTAGCCGAACGCCTGCCTTGTATTGTCATCTCGGTGGCCTATAGGCTTGCACCGGAGCACAAGGCCCCCGCTCAGCTGGATGATGCCTTGGAGGCTTGGAATTGGGTGAGTTGCAGAACTTATCTCACCATCTCAACCTGACAGTAAGTTTTGCTTACATTCCAGGCATACAACAACGCAACTGCTTTGAATGGTGACCGTGAGAGATATTTCACTGTTGGCCAGAGTGCAGGGGGTAACCTCGCTCTGGCAGTAGCGCGCCGATTGATTGTGCTTGGCCGGAAACATGAAGTCAAAGGGATTGCAGCCATTGCTCCGTTCGTCGTCCACCCGGATGGTGTTCCTTCGCGTTATATGACCCAATATCGTGCTTTTGATGAGCTCGGGGACGGTCCCATCAACACGAAGCAAGCCATGGCCCATTTCTACAGTTGGTGACGCCTATGCATTGACAAACCGACATTTCGTTGACCATGGTGGTTACAGAAGCAATCCAGGCGCCGCCCGGCGACTCAGACGTCTACGTTCTCAATGCAGAGGCGGATTTACACCAGTTCCCTCCGACCTACCTTGCAGTCTGTGGAATTGATCCACTGCGAGACGATGGCCTTATCATCCACGACGCCTTGAAGACAGCTGGGTATGTTTTCCTCCTGCTTTAGTGACAGCCTATGGATGTTTGTTCATTCTAACCTTGCCTCTTGCAGAGTTTCTGTAAAACTGGATTATTACCAAGGTTTGCCACATGTGTTCTGGGCTTTTGAGTGTCCTGCTCCAAGTGGTGATTTCGTGGCGGATGTCGTGGCTGGTATTAGAGTTTTCACGCATGCTTGACAGACTATTGCCGCGCAAGACTAGGTCGACGGTGCTCAAGGTATGCCGAGTGCAGGGCAGTATGTTATTTGCAGCAGTGCACTAAGAGATTTACGTGATATATACATTATTATATAAAAAATAAATACTATATTATGGTAATTAAATACTGTAATTTAATATATAAGTGCTATAATTTAATAAATAACTATATATTATAATTTTATAAATAAGCGCTGTATTATAGTATATAAATGCTATAGTATAGGACTCTAGGTTATAGTACATCTGCATACAAACGCTATTATTTTTGGATACTATATAAACCTGCTTGTATACCAGGGTTGTAAAATTAGTTAGTAGTTTTTAGTTTTTAGTTTTGTTACTAATGAATAATTTCATTTTTAGTTATTAAAAATGAAAATAAATTAGTTTTATTACTAATATAAGAAATTAATTTAGTTTTTTTTTTATATATTAAAAATTAATTTTATTTTTTATATATAAAACTAAAAAACTAAATTAGTTTTTTATATATAAGTAAATTAGTAACAAAATGAATTTTATTTTATTATTAAGTTTGTTTTTATATATAAAATTTATTTTTTTTATATAAATTAAATTTATAAGCTATATAAGCTAAAATTTAAATATATAAATAATATTATTATAATATAATTTAATAAATATATTTTATTTATATTATTTTTAAAAATTAAATTAGTTACTAATTTATTTTGTTTTTGTTTTTTTGTTTTTAGTAACTAATTTACTAATAAAAAACGAATGCTATATAAAAAACGAAAAACGAAAAACGAAATTAGTTTCGTTACTAAGACCTTCGTTTTTAGTAACTAATTTAGTAACGAATTTACAAGCCTGTTGTATACTGGATAAGCTGTCCCTTTCAAATTTACGTTGAACTTGTATGGCAGAATTAAACCCCAGTTTATGCGAAAGTGAACAGAATGAACCAGTAATTAAAGAACCTCGCACCAGTTCAATGAGATCGTGATTTTTTCCGAACGTGAATCGTGTTTTGAAATACTCGGCTATAAAAATATGCAGGTTATTTTTTGTTGAAACATGAACACCTCAACTGCTTTCGCAACTCCATCGAGCAAGGCCCTATTCCGAGGTGGCCTTTCATCATTTTCGGTGAGAAGAAAATCTGTTTGAATGACTTACTATCTTCAGAGGCAATTAGTATCTTAATTGAGTATTTCAGACTTGAAACTTACTATATTGCTATCCTAGGTCAGGCTATCTCCATTGCCTGTGTATTTCCAATATATACATTCAAATTCTGAGAAAACACCTAGCTACTGTTGTACACGTAGATCACTGAGCTGCCTTCTCACTCTAACTCCTCACATGTCCTTCACCAGAGAACCGCTTCTTTCATCCCGCCAAATAGGGCTGATGATCCCATAACTCGAGCCTCGCATTTGGAGAAGGGTACTTTGTGCCTTCGCAATGCGTTAGCTAATCAATTTTGATGCTCTAGTCACCCGATCCTCTCACTAGTCGTTGTTTATGCCTTGCGTAGAACATTCTGCGTTTGAAAAACAACAGCCTCCTTGGGGAGATGCTTCGCGAGCAGAGCTGTATCCCAGTAAAGCCAGACCTCCCTGAAATTCAATCCATCCACAGCATCGGCGAGGTCAGCGGGGCCGATAATACAAATCCAGCTGAGTGGGATGCTGACAGTCGGCTCTTCGGTGTTGTTTCCATGAAGCCAGATATTACGGGTCCACTGGGCCATGATGGTTGTTGTACCATCATCATTTTTGACTTCCCAGATGCCGTGGAAGTCGTGTCGCAGTCTTTCAAATTGTCCGAAAAGACGCTTCATCCACGCCCACATCTCGTCTCCACCATTGTACTGGGCGTTGTTCTGGTTGTGGAAAATGACGTTTTTGGAATAGAACCGCAAGCCAGATCCGTGGTTGAAGCCATAGGAATCAACTGTATCAACATATTTTTTAAAAAATTGTTGAGCTGGAGTCTCTGGTCCGGACGTATCCCAGGTAGGAGCAGAAACACAGCTTACCAACTCAGGCATGATTAGAGAACAAAAGCCAACGAAAGGAGACACGGAATAGAACGAGACTCTCTTGTTTGATCTGGATTAATGTCTTGATATTCGCAAGTATCTTATAGTTAGTTACACTGACGCCACTACCGGGAGCCGAAGGGTCTGTTTGCGATTTCTTGATTATAATATTGCCGAGGCGCAGGTCGTTTCACATCTTCGTAGTTCATGGAATGTACTTCAAAGCTAAGATTTCAATTTCCGACGACCACACAAACCATAATATACTGTGGATCAAGATAGCGACTCTCGGGTTCCCGAGGTCAATGATCAGTAATCCCTCGCCACCTTAGTTCACCGACTTCTGGGTGACAGTTCGCGCCATCAGTGATAGAGCTTATTATTCATCGCAAAGGTACATTCTTGATTTAGATAACGTAACCCTCACCGCACACATTACAGGATCTCTAATCCAATCAGTGTGCCGCCATAACTAAGGTCCTCCTGCTGAAGCAAGCTTCGAAAAGAAAACTTAAAATAACAGACAGTGTATCCGAATTATATGCCTCCGGCATTAATAGCAAATGAATTTAAGACATTGGCAATACTTAATTAAAAAAGGACTGGATAAAAAGGGGTTACTTATAATATCTGCTTTATATTGCAGATGTTGGCTTTATTCAGTTGTTTAATAACTAAGAATGGATTGTCTATTTAAAATAGACCCTTTTGATAAGGACATGGATTATATTTTGTCGGTTTGGCCGAACCGTTAAACACTTTAACCTCCAGCGCTTATAAGTCCAATAGGTTCCCGGACTATCAGATATAGAAGACTGAAAGATTTAAACAATTTCTAAACTTCATAATATGCTATAACCCTTTTTAAGAGCGGACATGGTAGTGGTAATTTGGCTTCAGGATAAAAGACCATAGCTCTAAGCCCCAATAGATCTGTGAAAGATGCTTCCTTTATAATAAAATAAAAGCCCTGTGTTATATATTTATTTTAGGGACTGTCTATCCGGTATCCACGCAGGGTTATTTGGCATCCAAAATAGCGGGACTTGTACAAGAAAGTATTGCAACTTTAGCTACTATAATATATCTATTTAAGTGCTAAATATATAGCACCTATCCACTAAATTACAGCACCCATCTATTAAATTATAACACTTATTTACTAAATTACAGCACTCATCCACTAAAGTATAGTACTTATCCACTAAACGGTTTTATTTTTCTAGTTAAGAAGTCGGGGGCAGGACCTCTTTAATATATATACAACTATGTAATTCACACAGACAGGGCGGGCTAGCATTTCCCTTGTTCAACAGAATTAACTTGATTATGGCGCGTATGACTTCATTTTCATTTCTTTAAGGCTATAGCACCAGCCCAAGCTGATCCAGGATTCAAACGCCCCGGGTAGTGTTCCACCATTTTGCTGTACAGCTCTTCTGGGGTATTGGTCTCGGAACTAAGCTTATTAAAGGTCTGCAGATACTCCTTTGTCTCGTCAATAGCTTCCACACCAAATCCTTTCTCTGGATCGCTATGACCACCAACAACTATTCGAGGCCTCAACGCGGCAATCTTGTCTAGCGCTCTGATCCACTCATTTCGAGCCTCTTCAGTTGCCCCCTCTCCCAAGTAGGGATGAACGTTATTGTACACAGCGTCGCCAGTTACCACGAGACCGATTGACGGCACCCAAAGGCTTGTAGTCTCATCGGTGTCGGTATGCCCGGTTCTCACAACCACCAACTTCTCTCCTTCGAGGAAAAATTCGTCTCCATTTATGACTTCTGCCTTGGCTGTCAATGGATGCGGAATTTGGCCTGGGAAGAGCTTATCCCAAAAGGATTCGACGCGCTCGGGAGAAACTTCAACCGCCATCTTAGCCGCGATTTCAGGAATCGTCACTACTTTGGCGTCTGGAAATTGCTTCAAGATCGTAGAGTTCCCGAAGAAGTGATCCCCATGCGCATGAGTGATGTAGATATGGGTGACAGTCTTGCCCGTTGCGACAACCCACTCAAGGAGGCTATTACTTGCCTCAACGGTGAGCTGTGTGTCGACTAAAACTGCATCTTTGATGCCGTAGATCAATGTAGATGTTGTTGGAACCCACTTTAGCTGTTCGTGGCCAGCCGGGGCGGACCTCGTCACGCTTGGGCGTTTGCTGAAGAAAACTTTATATTGAAGTTCCATTATGCAGAAATTCCAACAGTGGGTGTTACGAATTATTTCGGTTGGTTTGGAATAGATAAAGTAGAGGTTCTTCTTCTCGCATTGTATCCTTCTGTCTATGGCAAATTCCTTATTGTCTGTCCATTTATATGTGCACCCCCAAGGCGATGCTAAGAGGACGATACCTCGGTGAGGGAGATGAATAATCGCCAGGGGGGCGGTGGGTCCTCGGCGTTCTGCTAGCCAGATTACACCACCAAACTTGGAATTAGTGCGTCATTTGGCGGAATGGCACGCCTATCACTAGATCCCTCTAGAGCGACAGACTAATACTCCACCTTAAACAGACTTGTTGACCGACTAGGTGGGTCCGACAGTGTGAAAGATGGTGACCATAATGTTAATCCTAGCTAACATTTTACCTAGTTAATATTGTAGTCTAATTCGATATATGCGCGATTACCTGTACATATTGTAGTCTTGTAAATGTAATGTGTTTAGTATTCTAGTATGTATGTCGTTATCCGGCTTGCAACGCCTTCAGAGTCGGAGGGTCCAAGAACCTCGGATAACAAGATCCTACCTTTAATAGATCTCTTTAATTGGGCCCAATGCTGTATTGGAACGGTATATTTACTTATTAGTAATCTTATATGTATCCTTCGCCATTCTTGATTGACTGTGTTTGCCAGCCGAGGTGATTATCTATACAGGTCTTCCAGTTGTGGAGTCCAGCTGCCACGCTCATCAAGATACATAGTACGCCGTGGTTCCGCTTATATAATAAGATCAACGACTGCGCCCAGAGTGCTATACCAATTTCAAAAGTTTCGTTTGTCTATCACATTAATCGCCATGGCATTACCTCGCGAAAATGTAGAGTTTAACACATGCGATGGAACCACGCTTCGTGGTTGGTTCTACCCGCAAACAGAGTCATCTGTTTGTATTATAATGTCGCATGGCGTAAGTGACGATGCACGCAGTGCAATGCACATGAAATCGAATAATGCTAATTTCAACTATATGCAGTTAGCTGGTATACGACATTATTGGCTCCCAGCTTTCGCAACCCGCTTTCATCAAGCGGGATGCAGCGTGTTGCTATATGATAATCGCAACTGGGGTGATAGCGATGGACTGCCCAGACAGGAATCAAATCCATCTCTTCAACAAACCGACTATTATGACGCTTTCAACTATGCCATTACGCTCCCCAATGTAGACGCATCAAGAGTTGTCTACTGGGGCACCAGCTTCTCCGGTGGCAACGTCATATACGCTGCTGCAGTCGACAAACGTATTAAGGCGGCCATCGTTCAAGCCCCAGCTGTTTCTGGTGAAACTAGGGCGGTGGCTTTTAAAGATCGCATTGGAGCTGTCTGGGAGGACCGAGCTCGTATTTCAGCAGGGTCTGAACCAACCAAAGTGCCTGTGATTGCGTCAGACCGAAACTCGGCATCAAGTGACCGAGCAGTTATGTTCCCCGGTTTGCATGCGTATGACAAGGTCGTTGGGATGCATGATTGCGGTGGCAAATGGGAAAACTATGTTACAGCGCAAACGCAGCTGCATATGCTGGAATTTGAGTCACAGTCAATGATTCACAGGGTGAGTCCGACACCACTGCTGATGGTGATACCGGGAAATGATATCTTGGTATCCACTTCCTCGCAATTGGTTGCGTTTGGCAAAGCAAAGGAGCCGAAACAGCTTGTGTATCTTGAAGGCGCAGGTCATTTTGATATTTATGAAGATTCATACTTCGAAGGGAACATTCAGGCACAGCTTGAGTTTCTCCGGGAAAACGTCGGGCTTGGGCGTTGAGCGGTGGCGAGAGTATTATTCGGGCACTAGCGACAGTAGAAGTTCTAGTGAATTTATAAAGAGATACTATCTAGGTTGCCTTAAGACTAAGTAATATTTCTATAATATTAATATACTTAGTCTAAACCTAGTATCTTTTTAATACTTATACTATAAAATTAACTAACTGTAATATTCTAATCCCTATACCTGGTACAGGGTAGCTATTTCTAAGGGACAAACTTTAATATTAGGGTTATATTAGTAAAAAGATTTTAATAAAGCTTTGCGGCCTGCTTTTTATACAAAGAAAGAAGCTGTAAAAAATTATTAAGCCAAGTAAATTTCAGCCCTCTCCCTTTTAAATAAATGTAACGTTCTGATCCTATACCTGGTATAGGGTAGCTAGTTCCTAAGGGATAAACCTCTAATGTTGGGTTTATGTTGGCAGAGAGATGTAAGGGATTTTATAAGCGGTTTTAGTTATATAGCTAATAACTTTAGATAAAAGTTTAATTTAATTATTATATAAATACTATATTAATAATTAATTATTTAAGCTATATTTAATAAATATAATAAATAGTCTTATATAGTAAGTTATTTTA